CTATAGGGAGTTTGATTTTGTTGTTTATGGGGAATTTGATTTTGTTGTCTATGGGGAGTTTGATTTTGTTATCTATGGGAAGTTTGATTTTGTTGTCTATGGGGAGTTTAACTTTCTTGTCTATGGGGAGTTTGATTTTGTTGTCTATGGGGAGTTTGATTTGTTGTCTATATGGAGTTTGATTTTGTTGTTTATGGGGAGTTTGATTTTGTTGTCTATGAGGAGTTTGATTTTGTTGTCTATGGGGAGTTTGATTTTGTTATCTATGGGGAGTTTGATTTTGTTGTCTATGGGGAGTTTAATTTTGTCGTCTAGGGGGAGTTTGATTTCAATTTTTGGTTACTTGACTTATTGGCTCTATAAAATATCGTTGTTTATGGTGAGTTTGATTGTATATGTATACTGTAGTTTGAGACCTGTAATTACTATTTTTAGAAAATTGAGCTGTAGTTTACCTTTGACTAGTGTTGAACTCTATTGCTCAACAGGGTCAGTATTAGCGGTTCAAATATTTAAAGTGTTCATCATTCTTATTTTCACAGAGCAACTACCTAGCAGACGCTTCCTATACGTGTCCATTATGTGGTAAAGGCATTGATAACGATATCCAGTCTGTGAAATGCCAACTGAGTTTGTAGAGCTACCATATCAACAGGTAGTGTAAAGGAGACCATCCATCAAGGAACCTGTCAGTCAGTGTAAATCAAGAGACAGTAGAGATGGCATTTATCAAAGCTATTGAACTGTCATTTATTGTTTAATTTTGTAATTTTATAGTCAGATGTACAGTATTTGTACCGCTGACTGACAATTGTCTGATGTCTCTTGTTGTCCTTCAGAAAGTTTTTTTTTTAAATGGAATAGTTGTTGACGTGAAATGCAGCCTTAGTGTCACCTGATAGTTACTACAAGAAAGCTATGGTCATATCTGCTATCACTTTTGTTTTTTGAACGCCAGGGGTCGAAATACTCTGGTGCACACTGCACTATGCACATAGATTATTAGCTAGTGCAAATAAACTCAAAATATAATGTGCACGCTGTGCATGTAGCAATGAACACAACATTTTCTCATTATATTCACTAAGCCTAAATTAAGTTCAACAATTATTGTAAGGTAACTAAAAAAAAGCAAATTTTTTCGTGTTCACATTGATCGAGAACTAGTAAATTTTATTATAACTTTAAAAGTGGTGCATTTCACAACAATTTAGTGCAGGTAAATTTCAAATTCAACATGCACACTGTGCATGCAAGGAAAAAAATAATATTTCAATCCCTGAACGCTTACAAATGCACCAAATATGTGCCTTCCCTATGGTACAAAAGGGTTTGAATTTGCTATATGGCTGACCAAAAAACTATGAACTATCTAATAATAGTTAACACACACACTTACTTTATGTAAGATAAGAGACGAAATTTGAAAAATATTTCAGTTTTTATTCAGACTTTGTGCCAAGCTTGATAAAACATACAAAGACAATCACCCTGTATATGTGGTGGAAGAAGATGAAATGAAAAAATTTAATATGCTATTATACAGATGCAGGGGCCCACCCTATAGTGAATGGTCCTGAAAGTATACAGCATTGGTTTATCAAGAATGTCCGATTGTGGTCTGCGGAACTTGTCACAATGTTTTAATTTTTGTTGCAATTTGAATACCAGTAACCTTGTAAGATGAATAAATAATGAGACCAAAATTGGGGCCTGGGATGATGAATAAATAATATCACCAAAATTGGGGCCTGGGAGGATGAATAAATGATATTGCCAAATATGTGGTTTGGGTACATGAATAAATAGTATCACCAAATATTGGGCCTGGGAAGATGAATAGATAATATTACAAAAAAATTATGCATGGGAAGATGCATAAATAATATCACATAATATTGGGCCAGGGAAGATGAGTAAATAATATCACCAAAACATTCTGGGCCTAGGAAAATGAATTAATAAAATGACCACAATTTGGGGCCTGAGAAGATTAGAAAATAATATCAAATTTTGAAATCCATTCAGAAATTAAAATATAATGTCAATGAATGCCACGAAGATTAAGTTTTATATTTAAGATTTCTCATTGTCCTGTGTGCTTCTTGTCAACATCATGCAATGATATTGTGAGTTTTTTTTGTTTTGTTTTACAATAATGTTATATTGATGTCAATAAACTAAGCAACATTGAAAAAGTTTTGAATTTTTTTTTATAGAAAAAGAATTTTAAAAATTCCTTTGTTATTTCAGTGCAATATTTCCAATAAAGTAGAATTATATTATAAATTTCTTGAGTATTTCAGTTTCTCCTCCATTCCATTACCTGTGAAGGAAAATACGTCTTATTAAATTTGTGTTTGATAGAATTGTAGTTTAGAGTGGAAAAGGAAGATCAGACAAAATAAACACCAAGAGATGTGTGGGTTTTACTTTCCTCAGAAGACAAAATGCTATGTATTTTTCATAACCCCTCTCTCAAAGTTACACTCTGAGATAATTCATAATACTTTATTGGGGTTTTGGGATTATTATGTGAAATATTTAATCATATGTGTATATTGTGAAAAATATTTGAAAATTCTCATTTTACAATTTTGAATCAGAGTACATTTTGTATTTCTTTCTTCAATCATGTGTGAAATTGGTTGAGAAGCATTAGCATTTAGAAAATGAAAAGCTAAGCTGATCACCAGCAATCTGATGCTAAAATCATTGAAACATTTATCGCATATTTCAGCAAATTCAGACCATTATATATTTTACATAATAGTAATTTCACTTGCAATTTGCACATACAACAACAAAAAGTCAGGAGAGACAACAGTGACACTCAATGTTCAGAACTGTCGCCTGGCACAAAAACATTTAAAAAAATAAATTCACATAATAGTCCAAATACAGTTGTATCAAGGTTACTTTAGTAACCATGGTTATATGAATGATCTCATAGGGCAGCTTTTAATCACTAAAATACTGTAAAATACTTTATTTTAGCTGGAATTAATTTTCGCTGAAAAGACCTTTTGGGTGTTTTGTATGGAATTTATTTTCACTGTTGACGAGTGAAAAATGTAAAATATAGGAAAATAGGTACCCGGTATATTTATTTTAACTGAATCAATCCTTCAGCGAAAATAGCGAAAATTAGTTGCAAGCGAAAATAAAGTATTTTACAGTAATATAAAAATTCTATTTGCAACTTAGTTGAACACTGCTTAATGGTAAAATGCTGCTTTACATGATGTAACACAAATATTATAAAAGCCAAATTTCTGAACATGAGATATCTGTCACTGGCTTGTTTTTGCTGCAGAGTTGGGAATCCTACTAGATGCTGTCAGGCACTCATACACACATAATTACCGTATTAGGTGTGGTTAGTAGCAATATTTTTTTGAACAAGTAAAAAAAAATGAGACTGATATTCAGTCTGAGTGGTAATTGAATTTAACGAAATTGTATTATATTATTATGCTGATTAGCCTCTTAATAGTTTTAAATTTTAAAGCGGGAGAGTCGTCACCTATGCATGCGTCAGATGGCCATAGCGTGTCATTGTTTACAAACAAGCATCTACCCATGAGTCTTTGCGTTTTCAGCGTCTGTTATCGTCGCTTGGGACTCCTGTGCGTGCGCAGGTGACGACCCTCTCGCTTTAAGAATGTACAAAAACAAATCTTCTTCATGAAATACATGTATTTATACGTAGTTGTGTACCTTTGTTGTGACGGAAGGAGTTTCTTGAACACATATACCTCTGTTTGGTATGTCATGTAAAGGGTCTCCATTGTCCTGTATGTGACATTCATAACCAGTGGGACAGCTCAGATCGGCAAAATCATCGTCAAACATTGTGGTACTACATGTTTCTACTGCAAAATCAGAACAATGTATGTATGATATACATGAGGTAATACAATAATGGTTGGGGAGGGGCTACTGAGATATCTTGCAAATATTAAATGTAAAACTTAAGTTTAAAATGTAAGCTGATGATGCCTTGTGTAAAAGATTGCATTATGGGTAAGATGGTTACATCATCAGTGAAACTCAATTGTGTTGAAAGTTAGGTTGTAGAAAAAAATAATTTCAAAAAACAATTTGAGCTATTTTTTAATTTTAATTATTAATTGCCATAATGGTAGTATTTTGATTTTTCATGAATTTTTTTTAGAATTCTGACAAATGAATATGAATATTTCTTTCATGGTATTATTGCATCATAATAAAATGATTGTGCCTGGAATGGTTGCATCATGGGAAATATGACTTCATCAAAGGTGAATGTTTCCACATGGCAAAATCATTGCATCATTGTTTAATAGTTGGGTAATCCCTTACTCCACATAATAAAACATCACAGTCGTTGTGTATTCAAATTCAGTGCCAATAAAAAGTTGTATGGGACCCACATAAAATACACCACATGGCAGTGAGTATAGCAATTTAAAACTGTCAAAAAATTGTGAGAAAACACCAAAATATTTAAAATCAATATATGGGATTTTTTTTTTCTCAGGAGGATTGCTGACATTTTGACAGTCTAAAATCTCCTTTCCCTTTTTCCAATTTATTAAGGCAACAGCTGACTTCATCATTTTACTAAATTCTCCAATATGTGACTGTGAGGGCAGTATAGCACGTGTCACGCTTACCTGATGGTGCTTCTTTGGGTCCATGTACAAGCCATCCTGAAACAATTATGTATTTTCATTAGAATCAATCTGTCACCAAGACAACTGACAACATATAGCTGCACAAACGTATATAATATTAACAATTCCGCTGTTATAAACTTGTGTAACAATGTGTAACTTAATTAGAAGACTTACACAAGACTCCAGGCTTCCTAAATTTAAAATTAATTTTAAATAAAATACATTATTTTTTCCTAAGATTTCTTTGATTAGGCATTACAGCTGAAAGAAAACTGACCTAAGATTAATCTGTGGAAAATGCCACATTTCTCTGGCCACGAGAATGTATTATTTTAACTAAAATAATCGTAATGTCGAAACATAACTATTTTTTTACAGTGGAATATTTGTTAGGTATGCTTTTTTCAAGAGGAGGTTGTTTTACGTGATGTTGTTGGCCTCATCTTCATCATTACATTATCAAACACTAAATGAAAGTCCTAAAATCAATGATCTAGTAGAAAGTCAGACCTGTTATTGTTAATTGGTAATGTAGCATGAATATGCAAGTTATGTAGATGAAGGAAACGGCAGTTACTAATGTTAGTCATTGGTATTTAAATATATGCAGATTGGGTCATATTAAAAGGAGGTAGTCGTCGCGCTTCGCATGTGCGATATTTGTGGTGATAAACATTGATTTTCCCACAATCCAATGCACTTTTCTAATGGAAATGAGGTATGAGGTTTGGTCTGAACGCGACTCGCACTGATTACTGCCAGCGACTCCTCCCATACCTTCCAATCACCTAATTAAAGCTTGGTAACGTCTCAGTTTGTATTCGTTGGTCTAACAGTCAAAGTCGCCATCTTTGTTTATATGAGACCCATATATCTCACGCATGCGTGGCGCGACAACTACTGCCCTTTAGTGTATCGGGGGGGGGGGGGGTGATCTGTGATTCAGACATTCTCTAAAAGTTAATCCCGGAAGCTCGCAGTTACTATAACAACATCGTCTGAAACCTTTTGATATAGGCGAATACGTTAGCATATGCTGCACCGACGTGTGTCAATACTTCGCAGTAAATTTCGTAGGAGGAAGAAATTAAAAGGTGGTTTTACGTTTTGAGAAGTTTCTGTCCCTACAGTCTGGCGTGAAGTTTTTTGAGAGCAGTTTTGCATGAAATTATACCA